AATGTGACTGCTATTGGTTTATGTTTACATCATAGCTTGCTTCACAAAAACACATTCAAGCGTTTGTGTGTGAACATATGTTGTGTGTTTGTGCACATGTACGCATGCGCAGATCTGTCTGAGCTCCTCGTTTCCTCAGTGCGCACCACCATCGGGCCCCGCGGCGGAGAGAGAGTGAGAGTGAGTGAGTGAGTGAGTGAGTCACACCCAGCAGATGAAAGAGTCAAAGTAAAGACTCTGCCGTCCCAAAAAAACATCACACAGCTCCCTTGCTCACTTTTTGAAGTCATCCAAAAAGAGGGAGGGAAGCGACACACTTTCTCAATCGCATTAAAACATGGCGTCAGGCAGCTCCCATCTTGTTGCACGCTATAGATTACACTTTGGTTTGAAGTGGAGTTTTAAGTGATACACGACGATATTGGGCTCTGTTTTTTGGGTTAAGTTCCGAATTCAACTCATCCGACATCTGAACATCAGGCAGACTTACTGATCAAAGTGGGGATGGAGGCATACATAGATGCGAGTTTGGTCTACCTCGGCAGGAAGTCAGAATTTCATCAATCAATCAATCAGTTTATTTATATAGCCCAATATCACAAATGTTACATTTGTCTCAGTGGACTTCACAGTTTGTACAGAATATCAGTATGACAATACGACACCCTCTGTCCTTAGACCCTCACATCGTACAAGGAAAAACTTCCGGAGAAAACCCACAGTTTAAAGGGAAAAATGGGAGAAACCTCAGGGAGAGCAACAGAGGAGGGATCCCTCTCCCAGGACGGACAGACGTGCAATAGATGCCGTGTGTAAATTGAAAAGATAATACATTTGCAACATCACAGTTCTATCAGAGTTCAATGACCAGTAAAATCACCTTTAGCATAAATATAATTGTCATAGCTTAAAGGTGGGGTAGGTAGTTTTGGAGAAACCAACTCGAGTGCGCTAGAATTTGAAAATACACAAAAATACACAAAAAATCTGCCACTTCCTCACAGAGCTCCTCCTCCAACACACACGAACGCGCACATGACCAATGAGGGCACGAGATAAGTTTGTGCACAGATGGAAGGCTGACAGGCAGGTAGGCCATCCAGTTATTTTAGCCCAGCCGGCTAACATGATTGGTCGTGCTTTTTACGGTACTACGGCTTCCACAGAAGACATTTCTTTATGGATTTTTTGTCAAAGCACTTAAGATATTCATTGCTATCGGGATGTTAAGAGCATTCCATGGAATGTAACAAAAAGTGTATCTCGAGCCGGTTTCTCAAACGTACCTACCCCACCTTTAACAATCATGTCAATTGTCCACACAAATCTGTACACAGAAAAGCATAAATTAGACACTTTACTTTTTCTGTGATTGAAAGTCGGTCCACCTGCTTATGTTAAAGCAATCTGTGATTCCACAAGCGACTCCATCCATTAAGCATTCACAACCTCAAACTACCTTTTTTTTCCTGACCTTCTGATTTGGGTTAGTTGTTAATCCCACTCACGCTGATGGTAATGGATGTAATTGGTTTTCTGATACCGAGATCATGCTGAGTGTGTACTCACTGAACATACGGATTCTTGTGTGTTTGGTGTATGTTTATCTGTGTATCCATGCCTGTGTGATGCATTATTTCTGTACTTCCTGTGATGCTGCACTGACAGTGAGCAGCAGGGATTAAGAGAATCAGTACTGACAGGCAGTGATGGCAAACTGTGAAATGGAAATAAAGTCTCTTGTCATTACCGAACCAACACTCTCTCCAACGCATAGAAACACAGGCAAACGCAGCAAGACAGAAATGATTACAGACAAACGAGCAAACAACATCTCCCAGTTCTCCCTCGCTGGCAGATTGACTTCTTATGATAATTGTTCTGAGAGACATACGTAGTGAACAGAGGATTGTTGTGAATTTACAAATAATGCTGCCACTAAAATGGAATGCTTCGCGGAGCAATGGGGAAAAGCTTTTATATCAAATCATGTTCTTTTGCAAAGAAACTAACCCTCCCTATTATTCAATACACAGCTGTTGTTCAAACCGTTAAAAAGAGCATGATGTGACATTCTTCATCACTTTAGAAACTTCCATGCTCTTTACCGAATAACCCGTCAATTGCGTGTCACATTGTGCTCGTTCTGTCTGTGGAAATTGACATCGCCATTACGTCAGTTTCAGTTCAGCTTTAAGAAGATACTGAAAACCATAATTGCTCTTTAGCAATGCGAGATGATTGGAAACGCCATATGGATGCAATATCCTGCGCAGAACTATTGAGTGCACTCGATTGAGAACTGTTTACCTTGGTTTCTTCCTCCTTTAGCAACAATACAACAGTCCACTCCAAAGAAAATGAGACTCTACACCTTAAGCAAATGACCCTTTGACAGAGCAAACCCTGAATGTGTGTTTGGCCTTCATGTGTCGCGTTTGTCCATTCTCTGTGTTTGAAAAAGTGTGGCTTGTGTGCATATCTCTAAGTCTGTGTGTGTGTGTAAGAGAGAGAAAGTTGTCACACGTTTTCCGCCACTCCCGTCAATTGTCTTTTTAGTGTGCACATGTCCGTATGTGTCTATATGTGTGTGTGTTTGGCCTGGTTCCCACTGCAGATTATTAATTACGTTCTGGTAAGCGGTGCATGCCTTGCCTTCAGATCCACTTCCACTCTCTTTAACACACTCACACACACACAAGTACCCGTACACATGCACAAACACACACACACTTCAAAGCAGCCGCACTCCACACAGCTAGGATTAAGAGGCGATTGAAGAGCCTGATACAGCCTCAAAGTGCCTTCAGCACAAAAATGCCTTTGGCAGGGCACAGGTAGTCTCTTTGAAAGTACTTACACACACACACACACACACATACACGGCTGGGCTTTTAATTTAACTCTGATTTTCCCTTTGTATTTGTCACAGTTCTGCTAGGCTATTTTTCCTTGCATGTTCTATTCACATATTCATCTATTTCCAGCCATTTTGAATATGTGTTTAGATGGTTGCGCTGTATAATATATGATGTGGTACAATGCTTCCTGCTAAACCCCCCTGAGTGGCAGTATGTAAAAGGAATAGGCTAGTAGCAAGCTCGTTATGTTATTATGAAACATCTGAGCCTGTCTGCATCTCAATATGACCATATGTTTCCACGAATACACTCACGTGTGTCATTTACAGTAGAGTCACACACACCTCATTACCTCACAGTCAATTACAATGGTGAATCTGATTTATAACTTTAGTTGATGTTAACAGTTTCACTACTGAGACACATTGAAGTCTCATCCTTTATTACCACTTTAAGAAAAACATATTGTTATGAAATATTTCCCCAAAATCGTAGTCAATAGTATCTTCACCTAAGCTGTAGTCAGGATGGAGTAGTCGGCAGGATTAAAAGGAGACAACCAATGTGTCAGCTGTAAAAGAAAACATTGAAGGACTCTATTTGCGCCCCTCTCCCACACACAGTTCTTTCTCTCGCCTCTTCTACACCCTCCTTTTGTCTCCCCCTCTCTCATCAGCTGCTATAGGGCCCCTAGGGACGAGCAGGCTGCCACTCACAGAGTCCTGGCACAGGAAGACAGGCTGGTATCCTTGGTGACGGCTCTGTGTTTCTGCGGTGACAGGTCAAAGCCGGGCGGCGGTGTTTGTCAGGAAGTGTTTGGATGGGGTGCAGAGTCCAAATGCAGCTCAGGTGTTGATGGCTGTGTCGGGTGTGTTCAATGAAACCGTGTTTGTTAGAGATTCTCCGTCTGTCAGTGGCTGTCAGGGTGAGAGAGTCAAGCAGGTGTGTGTGTGTTGGTTGCTGTATGCGTTTTTGTGTATGAATCAGGTTTACAGCATTTCAAGACATTTATAAATACATTTCTCCATGGTGTTTTTAGGATACTTTTCCCACTTTCTTTTTAACTAAGAATTAAAACCAGAGAGGTGTTTTTCTTTGTTGTTTATCACTGGCTCATCAATGGCCTAAGTTAATAAACAACCCCAGAAAAATCAGAATCAGAAACACGTTTATTACCAGGAATTCGACTTGGTGTTGTGGTGCATACATAAAAGTAAAAAAAAAAATCAAAACACAGATAGAGAACTATTTTAAGAAAACTATAATAACATTAAAAAATAATAAGAAATATAGTCAAATATAGCAGTGTTTCCATTGAAATATAATGAAATAAAATATGTGCAGTAATACAAAAAACAGATATTGTGTACATTGTGTGCAAAACTACCCTGCCTTTCAAACAATGACCTACTGTAAATCCCCCATTATTTTTGAGCTATAGTTTATCTACAGTACTTGTATAGACTGTGTCACGGTGCGTACAGTCAGCCATCGACAGCCCCATCGAATTCCAGCACTTCACACCTAATTATCTCACTCCACTTTTCAGCTTCTCATTGAAACTCTGGCACAGCTAGTCGAGCGGAGGCAGATCTTGTATTAGACACTCACAGTCTTTGCTTCCAGCTGGCTAGCTTCCCATAGAGAAATAACTGAAAACAAAGAGCCGAGCGCCGCTCAATAAACTCCTAACAACAATCCCCATTCACTCCCATTCCATCTCCGCCGTGTTGTGTCTCCCAGCTTCCACCGATCATCTCTCTTTTTCTTCTCCCTATAGCTAATTGGCATCAACGTTTTAATTCCCCCGCCTGCCCCCCTTCTTATAAAGTGATGAATTGTTGGCATGGGATCAAAGGGGAGTGGTGCACCATGCCCGTCACTACCTGCTGGCACACATGAGCGTTGGGACTGGCGCTGTGCCAAGGGGCCACAGGCCGGTGCCGCCGGGACACACTGCCAGGAGGCAGAGGTCAACATGAGTGTGTGTGTGTGTGTGTGTGAGTGTGTGTGAGTTTAGAGGGGAGTGTGTGCACTTCCTAACAGAAGATTCAATTTCACAACTCTCTCTCTTTGTGTTTCCCTATCTGTCTGTCTGCATATCTCTTTCTCACACTCCCCTCTCCCTTCATGTTGCAGGCCAACAGCAGGTTGAAGCAGATTGAGAAGGAGTACAGTCAGAAGCTCGCCAAGTCTGCCCAGGTAATCAGTTTTCTCTTCTACCCTTCATTTTCCCCCTCTTTCATTGTATATGCCTCTTTTTCAACTGTGCTACTTTAAAGATTGGATAAATGTACTCATGGGAGAGGTGAGGAAGCACATACGTAAACACACACAACCACACACACACACACTCTTACACACACAGCAATCCACCTTGCGCTTTACCCTAAAGCAGATAGGCACAAACACACATCCCATAACTAGCAAAAGGTCTGTGCAGAACTCGGGCAAATAAATCTACACATAAAACACTGAACATGTTATAAAAAGAAAATCTAAAACTCTGCTGTCAGGTGTTTCTCTGTGCTCTTCCTGTTCCGTCTCATCTCCTATGTCCAGAGGTGTTACCGAGGAGAAAGGCCCTCCTGATTTGTGTGAAGTCAGGACAGGCTGTCTAGTGTTATACTGATAGGCTGGATCTCTTTATAGTACACATAGTTAACCTTCATGCTGCACTTATCAATATGTGATAACTGGAAAACCAAGTGCTATTATGCAAGGGGAACTCCTAGTTAGTTAAATAGAAAAGTAAATAGTAGGCTTACCTTCATCAGGTGGCCAGAAATGACTTTATTTCCCCAATGGTTAAAAATCTAACCGTGCTACATAAATATTCACTCGTGTTGCAGTTTTTGTAGTGCACACTTGTTCTGTGGTTCTATTTAGACCGATGTGCACTGGAAATTGCTTTGCTACCTAGTTTACAAAAGAAAAAAACGACTCTAAAGCAGGTAGTTATTAATCCTTCTTTAACTCTCTACGTTTATGTTGTATTTAATATCAGCAAACCCCAACATCATTGAGAACATGTAGAAGAAAAAACATGATTTGCCAATGACTCTGTGTGCTATCGCTGTAGCTCTCATTGTCCTGACGTGTACTTCCATCATAGGAGCTACTGATAGCTCACATATAGAATCTGTGCTAGCAAGTAGCTTCTGCAACATCTTGAAGCAGTAGTATGAATCAATATTTAAAGATCAGTTAAAGTCACTAATTATATTTCACAGAGTGACACTGATGCACTTGTGCCCTATCAGATTAATCGCACTAGAATTATCCTCCACCCTCTCTCCCGTCCCTATAATGCCTCTTTACGTCATCTCCATACCTGCTTCTCTGCCTCATGTCATGGTATCATCTGTCCACACTTCCAATTGAGGGCCATGTGTTTCACATTATGCTTGTCTCCTTAGACAGAGCCAATTTAAAACTGAGGTAATTATTTCTCTTAACTTCCCAGGACACATTCTGTCATTCAGCAAAATGTCTCCAAAAGTTTAGGCAGATTTAACCTCATCAGTTTAAAAGATCCAAAACTCCCCTAAGTAGTGTTTACATTACAAAAGAAAAGAGTTTTCTTGATTATGTAGCCGGGTAAAATATCACAATCATTTGGCCGTAATTGCTCCTCGTTACCCGAAGAGGAGATTCAAAGGGGTGGGGGGGTTGTTGTTATGCTTTCTTTCTTCTCCTCTTTTAAATCCCCCTATTTTGGGTTGGCTGGCAAAGGCGCAGAGTTGAAAGCGGGGTTGACAAGCAGATGTTGTGAGAAAACGGTAGCTTATTAGGTTACACAATGCTCGACTTCAAAAGAAGTCGGATGCTGTGCGAAAGTTCAGCCATGTTTGCCCGCTTTGGCGGAGCGGTGCGCCGCCACAGACAAAGCAACAAGTGATTAATCCTCTGTTTTGGGGACACAAAACTGGCACGGGTTCAACAAACAACACTCTCTGACATTAAAGACAAGTCTCTGTGCGTGGAATACAACACCTTTGAGGAAGTGTGTTTGTTATACAGAGGGTTCTGTTGAAGGTGCAGGGTTTTTGAGCAAACATTAATAATAAGCGTGATTAATGCAGACTATTTGTCGCTGGCTTTGTTTTAAAAGGTGGAACAGGTGGGGGGGTTTGTTGCCTACCCCTTGGGGCAGCTCAGTCAAATGTAAACAAGAGGCCTTTGAACCTCAAAGGCTAACCCCAGTTGTTAACCCCTGCGTGTCTGACAGGGGGCATCGCTCTTCAGCCCAACTGCATGGCTAATAACCCAATTAAAAACATACCACGCCATACATTATCCTGAGGGGTCTGGAGACACAGCCCATAAGGGTATATGTTACCATGCATACACACACACATCACTCTCTCTTACATCTTTGCTTTTGTCTCTCTTTCTCTGCCTTTCTCATTCTCTCTCTCTCTCTCTCTCACACACACACACACACACACACACACACACACACACACACACACACACACACACAGACTCTCCTAATTAGTGTCTCTCCAATCCAATCCTGTGTGTTAAGCGTCTGGCTGTGAGTGGTCCTCCTGGGTGACCTGTGAACTGAACAGGGCTGTGCTCTTTTCCCCCACTTAATGATCAGGCTACAGTGGGTGGTAGATCATTACTTTATCCCTGAACGTCTCACCGTAGGAGTAATGTAGGTAGGAGGTGGAAGGGAATTTGCCATGGGAGGCACAGTGCGTGTTCTGGAAGAAATGGGTTGAAGTTCACTCCATATGCAAATATAACTCATTTATTTCTGAATAATAGTTCACATGTGACCTCTTAGGCATGTATAAACCAAAAAGGGTCTGTTAAAGTATTTATTCGAATGTAGGGATGAACCTTTAGAGAATCATCGCCCGACTCTTCGGCTCAACGCAGCTTTTACTGTTTATTCACGCTTTATTTTGGGTTTACAGCCCGCAGATTCACTGGTACTTACTCTCATCAGTGTCGTTTCCAGTTATAGCAGGACATAGTGTTCAGTGAAAAAGATCTGTACGCTACTTGCCCAACACTAATTAGCAGACAAAGACAACATAGTTAACATAGTGGCAGCTAAAGAGCCAGATGGTTCCCTCAGGAGTAGGTGGAGACCAAAACAATGTTTTTGAAGTGAATATTTGACTTCTGAAACACAAGGATAAATTCTTTCTAATTTTTTTTTTTTTTTTTATTCGGTGGTATGTATGTGAAAATCAGTTACAGTTTTAAATAAACATTTAAACATAAGTTCATGACTAAATGTGCTGGAAGTGATAAAGTCGTCACTGAGAGTTAACTAAACAACAACGTACCTTGTTATTGACTGACAATACATTATGTTTGCCATTATTTTTTTATTTAAACTACATTTAGTCACTCAAATAATTCCTTACAAAATATTGAAATATAGTGGGAAATTATTTCAGAAATGTTGCAGATTAGTTTTATTTACCTAAATGATTAATTGACTCATCTATTCCACTCAAACCTTCTGATGTATGAGCAGAATGATACAATGCATTAAATAGCCATTAATGAAGATTTGTCACATGCCATTTGGTTTTCACCTCATTATTTAAAAGACTCGCCAAATGTGAGGTGTATGCCGCAATAAAGAGGTTGTGATTATTTCAACATCAGTCACCTGTATTAATGGTTTTAACCATTGTTTTATAGCATAAGTTATTCATTATCTCTGGTGAATCAGACCTGCCCATTTCTCTCCACATTGTAACCTCTGGTTCATGGAGAGGTAAGCCTGCCTTTAGCCCTAAAGAGATGCCAAACAAGTCTAACCAGACCAATTACAGACTTTAAAAGGCCTGGCTGGCTATCAGACAGAGAAAGGTGCTGTGGTGTGTGTACATGTACAGGAATAACAAGACAGACAGCTGAGTTCACATGTTTAGAGTGCCGCCACCGCCTGGGCTGAAGACCAGCAGGGCAGGAAATCCATATTGTAAAATAATTATTACGCCCAGAAATGATGTTCCCATAATAATGTGTCATTTGTTGCTTTCATGTGGCTTTCCTGCTGACAAAATAAGCCTAATCTCCCTCTCATCTCTCTATCCCCCTCTCTCTCTCTCTTTCTCCCCCGTCTCTCTCTCCCCCTGTCTCTGTCTATCTGTGGTCGACCCGCACTACTCTAACTCCCACACAATGTACAGATTCCAGCAGGGCTAGTCCTGAGTTTGAACATGGTAAACAATTATCTGGCTAGCCCAAAGCAAGCAGCAGCACTGCCCCCCCCATCTCCTATGTCTCTCTCTTTCTCTCCCCCCCCTCCCTCTCCATTCCTCTCTCTTTTACTCCCTCTCATATTTTCTCTGCCTTTCCCTGACAGTGGCTTAAATAGAATGTTAATTTTTGACTGGAGGATTTCAAAGCAGAGCCAGTTTCTTTTCATCTTGGTGTGCACCGCAAGTTCACCAACACAAAGTCACTCCGCTCTTCAAAAGGAAGTTGTTTTTTCCTTCCTGTCTATTTTGTTTTAACCTCCCTCTTTTTCGCTCTCTCTGCTTTCTCTGTGTCTTCTGTCTTGTCTCAAAAAAGACATGAGACTGGGGAAAAAAAGGGATTGTTACTGCCATCCAAAACCATGACGAAAGCATTTTCCATCTGATACGAGTGGTTTTCTGAGACAAGTGAAATAAAGCAAATCAGCATTTTGTTCAGTCAACCTGTTTTGCATTTTGCATCTGGCAACAGGTTTCCTCTGCACTCTGGTCTTTTAGTTTATATCTTGTTTTAAAGTTCATAAAACACATGAGGTTGTTAGGCAATGGGAACACTTTCCCAAGAGCAGATAGGCATGCTGCAGATATTTTTACTTTTTGGGTATAACAATATGTGGCTAGTTCTCCATCTGCTGATTTTCTGCCAATCCTTTTCCAACTCAAAATTAAAAGTCACATTTTATTTTGTGTCTCTTCTCATCTATAGTTAATTGCGGAGCTACAGACATCTTTATGTTACATGAAGGAGGAGGCTGTTCGTCAGCAGCAAGCAATGGAGAAGCAGTTGGAGGAGTCCAATGTCCGATGGGATGAGGAGAGGAGGACAATAAATCACCACGCCGATCGAGCCAACAAGGTCAGTGTCGGGCCCTTAGGAATTTATGCAATTGATTGCATTCATCAACATTGTCATAGGAACCTTAATGACTCATTAGGTGTAAAGTCCAGAGTGATACTACTCCATTATTGAAGTTTTGTCAGCATATGTTAGTAGAAGCAGCTAAAATGAAGAGCAGCCCCAAGAATATTAGAAGACATAATGACACTGGAAGGAAATACAAACTTCAAGGGAAAAAAAGAGCAATGGTGTTATAAAGTATCCCATATTATTTCAAAAGTTAGCCTATCATCCATCCTTACTATGGCATTTGCCACTTGATTGACGTACAGGTAAGCCAGTCTGAGTTGTATTGTGCCATACGGGTTCATGCAGTTATGAGGGGGCCTCACCTCCTCATCTGAAGCGCAAATGTGGCGCACTATTATACAGCAGTAAGTAGATCTTTTGGGCGTGGTCATTTTAAAAGTAGCTCCCAAGCTGAAAAAGTGTGGGCACCCCTGATCTAGTAACTTAATTTATGATTGTAGTAATGAATCAGAGCAACATGTTGCAATATTGTAATATGATATTGATATTTATGTATGTAGCACTTTTCTTATCAAGGTTACAAAGTTCTTCCCTGAAAAATAAATCAAGTCTTACAAAACATGTCGATTGCAATATAACATTTAAATAAATGTAAGCCTCTTTGAATGCTCCCACAAAACATTTTTTCCAACATGTTTTATATAGATACATAGAATAGAACAGTGAGTCACTATTGCTTTCTTTTGGATAATACATACACTATCCCATCTAATGTGGGGGATTCAAAGCTGTATGGCTGCGAGCATCTGCACCAGCTTTGGTCAATCTTCAAGGTGCCATTTTATCCATCTCTCTAATCTTCCTATCTCGTTATTCTCCCAGCAGTCTTATATACTTCCTGTGTAAGTGGTTTATGTAGTGTTCATCTGCAAACGAAAACCTTTAGACTAAGAGAACGGGGGGCGTCCATAAACTACATCCTTAAAAAAGCCTTGTCTGGATTTGACTTTTATGGAGTAGACACGGGTCGCTTTTCTTTTGTTGAAGCAAGGTCACAGTTTGTATGCACACGCTCTGTCATTTTTATGGCTAGCTGCAAACTCCATAGTGTCTTTAAGTGGCTTGTGTGCTCTGTGTCTGGCTGAACCTTATAAATATGTCTGCTGTTCCCTGCCAGTGTTCAGTCATTTCATGTGACAAAGGTAGCTCAGGAAAGTTGCACTGTATCTAGCCTCTTGCCCTAGCAACCACACTGGGACATGGTGGCAGTTGATTGGGTGTGGCTCCCTAAATAAAGAGTTGTTGTGTCTGGGATCAGGACATGTTTCCAAACACAACCTTGTCTGTTTGTGGTTCGCAGCTGCCTACATAGTAAGGAGTCAGATCTGTGAGCCCCTCCCTCGCTCGGAAATATCAGTTTGCTCCAGCCTGCCCTGGACCTGCTTGCACACCTAATGCCTGAAATGTCTGTTGTTATCCATATGATTGACAGTAAAGGCTGGTCGTGGTTATGTGGCCAAAATCATTCAGTCCAGATGATCTTTTTAGAATCTCTTTGTCACTCGTTCAAAAACACATTCAACATTTAAAAAGAAAAAGCTTCAGGAAGTTATCTTAAGCGGGGGCTGCACACACGCAAAACACTGAGAAAGATGAGCTGATGAGCTTGCCAAAAATGTCTAAATTGAGGTTAAAAACTACGGAAACATAATTTCACCATGATGCAGCTACACATACTTGGGCAGGGTAAATATAGCATGAGCATAAAGACGATATTTGAAATCGTAAATATTAAACATGTTAAATACATTTTAATCTTCTATCCTATTGTGTGTGGGGAACCATGAAAATGTCATCACGTCAGTATTCGTGGTGTCTGTCTACATAAACATTACACATTACATCTTAAATGTAAGTGTTTTTTATTATGTAATGGTGTTTAATGTAGACTTGGTGGCACTAACTATGGCTTTGATTGCTCATGTTGTAGCTCTGCCGCTTGTAATCTAACTATACCATGACACACACACACACACACACACTCTGTCTCCCCCGTTGTAGGCTGCGTTACAAGTCACGGGCCTTGGCATCTGTGTTGGGAGCAGACAAAGGCATTCTGTCTCCATTATCTGTATCCTCATTATTACGATCCCCCCTGTGTTAACCACCCGCTAATGAGACTTCAATTAATGGTTTGAATGCTTATTAAAGGGCCAGACATGAGTGGAAGGAATAATCAATGGGGGAGAGGAAGGTAAGATGTGTCAAACAGCAAGAACATTATGAAAATAAGATATAAGATAAATATTTGGTGTAAACTTGAAAGAAGAGGGAGAGGAGATTGATGAGATGGTGCACAATGAAGGGGAAGAAAGAGAGGAAGAACCAACAAAAGGGTGGAGGAAGTGTGAGGATTGAGACAGCAAACAGAAGGACAAGGGAAGAAAAGCGAGAGAGAGACAAAAAAGCCTGAAAGAAATGGCGGAGAGCTGTCAGTGGGCCATCGAGGGAGTGTGTCGCCTGCTGACATTGTTTCCATGCTGCTCACTTCAAAGGGCTCGGATTATGAAGAGAGCGAGGGGCTTCAGACAATGGGAGGGGAAGAAAATAACATCAAAGTTAGCCGCGCATTTGAATTGGGATAATCCCAAAACAGTTGTTCAGAATGCATGCTGCACCGGATCAGATGTCCCTTTTTTTTTCCATCGCCAGGCCCGTTCAGCCATTTCTCCTGAATTTAGCTCCCTCTGTGGCTCTACTGTACTTGTGACTTCTTAAATATGGGTGTTAACCGCGGAGACCGTTGCATCTCGTAAAGCCCTTTTTTAGAACAACGTAGTACAGTTAAGTATGCTCATTATCTGGGTTTTTATGTATAAGTGACATTTTTGGTGGAGTATTTTTGAATGTGTGTGTGTGTGTGTTCATGTAGGAATAAGCACTTGAGTGGGTGCCTGCTTGGTGTATACTTGTATTGCAGGCCTTTCTCAGTTTTAATAGGAAATGGACTCAATAAAATAGTGTGTGTTGCAGACGTGACGTGTGCAGCTAGTGCGATCGCCTGTTGAGATAAATGAGCAGAAAGACTTTTAGGCACTAAGTAGCTTTGATCTGTTTTAACCACCCTATAGCTCAATATGATACATTAACTTTTCAAATAAATTACCTTTTCTTTATATGAAAAGGCTTCCTGTACTGTTGAACCCAACTCTCGAAGTTTTAGCCTCTTTTAGCTCATTGTTTTGGTTTTTATGTTCCACACATGAATATAGTGGAGTGGGAAATTCAAAAAGATGTGGACTAAACCTCAACACATCCATGAATCAGGAACAGGAAGTTGACGTTTCACACATTGGATAACAAATAAAGAGAAACATGTAAATTGCCCTTCCAATTGTTCACATTACTTCCTACCTTTGTTGCCTTTGAATGATATCACATTCGGGAATTGCAGCCAGTTATATTTAGGTTACCAATTATCTCATAATGGGCAAGCCAGGAGTGGGCAGTTTAAGCACTCTGGATCCAGGCCGGTGTCAAAGGACTGTCGAAGGTGAAAGCAACATGAAAGTGTGTTTGCTTTCATCTGTCCAGTCTCTTCATATCAGTTAAGGGGAACTGGAACCAATATAGAGGAAGCCTGTGTAGCACATTGGGACATAGCCAGCGTTTAGGTGAGAGGATTATTCACTTCCTGATGTCATCTGTTTCCTTACATGTGGTTTCTTGGGAAAATGTTTTTTTCCCTTCATGAGACGCAGGGGGTGGAGGTGAATGTGAAGTTTAATAGGGAGGTTATTGGGATTACTTTAGTACACGATGTGTGCGTGTGTGGCAGTGTGCACAGGCAGTGTGTGAGAGAGTGTGTGCCTGAAATGTGCAGCTGCCAAATCTGACAGAACTCAAGCCCACATTAGCCTGCCAAGAGAAAGGTATAAAGAAACACACACACACACACAGGCCTTGTCTCTTCTCTCTCACACCCTATATCTTTCCAACTCTGTATCTTCGAACTCTTTCTGTCTCAAACTCTCTGTCTGTCTCTACGCGCACACACACACACACACACACCCACACACAAGCACCCACACACAAGCACACATGCTCACCTCGCCCTGCCAAAAGGGAGAGGTGGCTGGTGAATAAACAATGGCACTCCGCCCATAGTGTCACCCGCCTGGGCTTTGATCAGCACCGCTGTTCCTGCTCCCCACAGCAGTGCTTCCTGTCTTTCTGCCTGCCTAATGTTGCCATGCGCGCACACACACCAGCATGCTCACACACATCCATAACTTAGTGTTCATGTCTCATTCTTATACATGGGCCTCCATATACTATCTCCCCATTCTCGCCTCACTAAATCTTTAGCTGTATCTTTCTGTCCCTCAGACTGGCTCACAAACATAGCTTTGAGTTAGTTCCCTTGTCTATACATCTTTCAATAGTGTAGCATTCTCTAACACACACCCACATTTTCTCACACACATACACACACAGAGGGATACACGCTTTTGATCCAGGCCCATCCAGGAGTAACTTGTAGCAAGTCAAAGAGAAGGTCCTGTTGTAGTGTCCTCTGGGTGAAATGACAGTAGACACATTACATAATGCAACACAGTGACCATTGTCTCACTGTGGTTGAGGATGACAGTGAATACATGAGGTGCACTGTGCTTTACACACTTGACAGTGTGGGGTGTACATGTCTTTGTCAGATTGAGATGGAGTCCATGTGATCGACTTGCTCTTGCTTTTACGCTTGCACGCCAGTAATGAGGTACAAGGCTCCGGTACACACACACACACAGCCACACAAACATGCCGACATTCAAGGGGGCTAGCTGGAGCAGCTGCAGTTTGTCTGTAGTTCTGTAGTTATATATGCATTAGTTTCTGAGGGGGTTGAAAGGATGACTTTGCCTGTGGGAAGGAATGGCAGCAGTGGATCAAGAACAGGTGTGCTGGAGACCCTCTGTTGCAGAGGCAAA